TGATATGCTCTCCTCTTTTGAGAACCGCTCTTAAATATTTATTTATTTTAATCTTAAACTCACTCCATGACTCCACCTTTTTTAGTTCCTTGGCACAAGATCCAATGGTCCTCCCTTCCCCCATGATTCTATAATCAATCAGGACTTTTTAAATCACAGATAGCCAATACTTTCCCAACCACACTCCCCTTATGAAAAAATCGAGGTATAAATAAGGTATAAACGAGGTATATTTTAAAGGTATAAAGGAGGTTGTTGTTTAAATACGNAAAACTTTATTTGTGAAAACCTTCAGCGTGGCGGACAGCTGGCCGCCTTAGGCGGCTAGTAGATAATAAAGTTTAGAACTGTGTTATGCTCTCTTCTTTTTAAATCATAGATAAAAAAAGTTTAGATCTGTGTTATGTTTTTCTCTTTTGAGAACTGCCCATAAATATTTATTTATTTTAATCTTAAACTCACTCTATGACTCCCCCTTATTTAGTTCCTTGGCAAAAGACCCAATGGTTACCTCGGCTCAATGGTCCTCCCTTCTCCAATGACTGTATAACCAATCAGGACATTTTAAATCATAGATAAAAAAAAAAAAGGTTTAGGTCTGTGTCATACTCTCCTGTTTTGAGAACAGCCAATAAATATTTATTTACTTTAATCTTATACACACTCCATGACTCCACCTTTTTTAGTTCCATGGCAGAAGACCCAATGGTCCTCCCTTCCCCCATGACTCTATAACCAATCAGAACTTTTTAAATCACTGATAAAAAAAAAAGTCTAGATCTGTGATATGCTCTCCTCTTTTGAGAACCGCTCATAAATATTTATTTATTTTAATCTTAAACTCACTCCATGACTCCACCTTTTTTAGTTCCTTGGCACAAGACCCAATGGTTATCTCTGTCCAATGGTTCTCCCTTCCCCCATGATTCTATAATCAACCAGGAGTTTTTAAATCACAGATAGCCAATACTTTCCCAACCACACTCGTTTTTCCATCTTTCGTGTTGTTGCTAATTAGTCATTGGATACACCAAATCGAGCCACAGATTCGCCATTGGGTGGATCAAATCGAGGAGAACACTAACTGACAAAAAGTCTACAATAAAGAAAAAGATAGAATTCTCCATCTACAATACCCAAACAAGGAAGAAGATTTTCAGGGGTGAATTGAGTGATGTAACTTTACCTGGGATGATTTATGTCATACCCCATTTTTTCGGGAGTCTATCCCCAGTAAACACCAGTTTCTGGGAGAGGTAACCGATTTTTCTGAATAGAATCCGTTCTTTAGAGAGAATAGTTGAAGTTACTGTGCTTTGTTCGTGAGATACCCGATTATAAAAAGTATTTTCCCCGAAAGAAACATTCCATCTGATCTGACCACTTAGAAGACTTGACTCTGCTAGGCTCCACTATACTGAAAAGTAGTTACAAATCTCTTGACCAGTAATGAGCCAGAGGAAAAGGCATTGGTAGATTTAACTTGAACGTAGCCGGGTGATCGCATACATAAGTGGTTGAAATTACCAGCTACGCCTTTGAATTAATTTTAAAGGATCAACAGAAAATTATGTTATTTAATAATATTTATACAACTTATACATAAATGAATTATACTTTTCTAAAACACACATTGAGATAACAGTCAATTTTTTTTTAAAAAACACACCTGCACTCGAGGATAACAGTTTTATTTTATTTTATAACCGTCGTTGAACAGCCAACCCAATTTTATGGGTTTGCGACTACTACTGTTCAACTCCGTAGCCTTGTAAATTTGAACCCAATCCAGAAGACAAGGGCACTCCTGGATCGAGTATTGGGAGAAATCTGCCTTCGCGGAGGTCTTCTTGATGGAGCTAACCCGCATTTGCGTTACATGGAGAGGAAGACCACGAGAACCTTCCACGGTTAGCCTAACGGCAAGAGGACTCTAACCCATTATCGGTCTACCACTGAGGATATTTCACGTCAGCACTGTGGTCGGTGCAAGCCGGATGCGGAGTTCGTATCGAATGGAATTCGAATCCGTTTCGCCTCATTGGAAGACGAACGCTATATCCCCTGAGCCATCGCGGCTTAGCATTATAGTTAGAAAAAAAATCGCGATTTTTCCTAAAAAAAAAGCTTGACGTTTTCAGCTATAAAATTTTAACGGATGATTTTAGAAACACAAATCTAGGCTTATTTTGCGAATAATACTTACAGTTGTAACTTTTATTACTGAAATGTTTTTGTGAAATGAATAGATCAATGAATAAAATGAGTTTTCCCGAACCAGCACAAAAAAAAAGAAAAAAAGGAAAGAGTGAATTTGTATAATTTTGGTAGCGATTGTAAAAGGGTTAAAGTAAGAAATCATAAATAATAATTTTTTAAGATAAGAAAGGAATAAATATCAAATTGAAAAAAAAAAACTATATGAAAAAAATGACTTTCAGATAATCAATCATTGATCAATCAAATCATACTACCATAAACTATGATTAAAAAAAAAAAGCACATTTATTAATTAGAGTAAAGTTAATGCTTATTAACTTTCGGAATTAAAAAAAAAATACAGAATTAAAGAGTTTGGCAATTATGAAAGAGTAACAATTATTCTATTTTTTCAAAATTATATTCTTTATCCATTTCATGTTCATCATGTGACAAAAGCCTTGAAGGCATTTTCATTCCTCATTCAATATTTTCGTTAAAAAAAAAGAAGAAAAAAAGTAAGAAACTAATTGAGAATTAAGTTATATAAGTAGTTTAAAAACAAAACTTTGACATTGCTACTTTTAATATTTCTGAATCTAGCTTTTTCGAACTAATTAAAACTTCGGCTAGTTTTAGCTTTTGATATGGAGCTGATGCATCATTTAGAGCATTAATCGAAGCTTTTTTATTGATACGTTTAAAGAAACGATAGATATTTTTCAAGACCTAACTATGAAAACTCATTTCTGAAAATAAATTTTTTTAAAGAGCCTGTAACTTTTACTATTTATTTTCAGCATGGCGTATGGCATGTGAAAGATATTTTGTTTTGACCTCTGAAGGATAATTTTTTATTTTTTTTTTATTTTGGCTAAATTTTATAAAGCAAAAGCAAAGCAAATTACACGAATTCTTTATACTCTCCTCTAAGTTATATTTTGGTTTTGCAATTGTCTAAAAAGAGTTGCAAAACTACATTTTGATGTCCTTAATTTTTTAATTGGCCAGCCAAATTCAGTTTTTTTTAAAAAAAATTTTTAATGATTTTTGCTGATTTCTTATGACGTTACTTAAACTTCACGTTATAGGCTTATACTTGATTCTATTTTTAGATCAAAAATTGATTTCAAACTTAAAATATGATGATGACACGTAAGGTATAAAAAAATTTTTCTAACAACTGCTCTAAAAAAACGTGCTATCTTCACTTGTCGTCACTGAAGAAGTTTTTAGGTAGTGTTTGCATTGTTTTTCTATCTTATCTCCTGACTCCAATTTTATACTTTAGAAACACCAGTTTTGTAATACCTGAACCAAATATTTAGACTGAAATTGTTTTGGTTACCTAATAATCTTCGGGAGATTTTGAATCAATTGTGCTTTGAAAGTCCCTCCACTCCTAGTAAATTTTTAAGTTTAGCGAGGTATTTTTAATTTACTTAGTATTTTTGTTTTCCACTCCCTCAAATCAGAATTTCTTGGATAGTGAGGCTTTCATATCTTAATGTTTCCAATTTTTTATCTAACGATAATTCCATGCAAAAAATATTTTTGTAAATATTTATTATTATTTTATTTAATAATAGTCCGGAAAAATTTGGAATTATAATTTACAAAATTTTTGAAAATATTTTTAAAAATTTTTATTTTACTTGGCAAAATACAAAATTTGAGCGAAATCGGTCGAATAGCTCCTGAGAAATCGAATTTTGAAAAACTTTTTTTTTTTTTNTGTCATTAGATTTATCTTTGAATAAAAATTAATTGCATAGTTGTATGTAAAAGTTTTTCAATTCGTGAATTTATTCAAGCACAAATTCCCTTTCTTTTTTTTAAGTAATTTTCATATGACATTTTGTGTTTTTTAGGTCCCAGTCCGGTTACGGCCGTACAATTTATGATAGAAGTCATAAGTTCTTTCTCCGAATTGTCATTTACATTTTTTTGTATTTTCAGCCACATCTTGGAAAATAATTCTATAAATTTAAAATTTTCTCTCATACAATTATAGAAAGAAAAAAAAAAACGTTCAAATATAATTTTATGCGAAATATAATATAATAACAGCTATTTTTTTTAATTATTTTCATTAATGTTCAAAAAATTTTGAAATAATTAAATATATTTATATTTCAAATAATGATTATCTTACAATTTAGGAAATAAAACATAAATATCTCCACATAATTTTATGAGGAAAAAAAAAAAACGTTTTAATAATTAGATGTTTTTTTATACAATAACATAATTTTTTGTGATGGAAATATATTTTTATAAAAATTTTTTACATCATGTTTATAACTTAATGAAAAATTTTCCAGCTAATCTTGTCCCCTGAATAGAAATTCGATTTTCAGAAATTTGGGGTTGCTGATAATCAGTAGTCACTCAATTAAAAACATATTAATAATATTGAACATAGTAAGAGACGGCATTTCAAGACGAATTTTAAGAGTAACAGAATGTTTCAAATAGAGATAAATACTTCAAAAAAAAATTTCTTTTCTTAAAAAATTTGCTTCGTTTTTTTAAAAAAATTATAAGCCTGAAAAAAGTGAAATAATGTGAATTTTCTGATATACATTACTTTAAAAAATTAAAACGCATTGATTTCTTTTTAAGAGAAAAATATTAGAAAAATAATTCTTTCCCACATTTAGTTATTAAGTTATTTTTGTGTTTTGAAACAAGTCAAATGCATTTTCTAATTTCGATGAAAAATTAAATAGGTAATTAACATAAGTTTCATACTTTTTAGTTACTAAAGACGGCACTAGATGGTAGCAGATGAACTACCGTTAAGAATATACAACGGGAGCTCTCCGTTTGCGTGTGGTAAATCAGGCTTCCTCGATTTGGAGGTAAACCAGTCAGACTCATGTTCTTCTCAAGGCCATTTGCGTAAAATTATCAAAATTCCAAATTGTTTTAATAATGTCAAAAATTTAAAAAACACATTTTCTTAACATTATCGATCTCTTCTCGGCCAGCTTTGCAACTCCCTAGACATGTTGATATTTACAATGCGAAATCTCCCCGCCAATGGAGTTGCCTTATTACATAATCATCAAAAGCGCCAGGAGCAGCAGAGACGGCGGTTTTTTTCACTGTCTGGGGTTAGTTTTTTCGCAGCTGTTCAACGGATGTATCCAGACGTAGACTATGACGCCGTAGTCGGAGCTCTAGAACACACATTTTAATGTAGAAGGACACAGGAAGAAATTTTCAGTTCCGGACTTGCCCGGATTGATTTTAAAATGTTAAAGTAACTCTCCAACATTCGATACATCTTAAAAGTTATTAGAAGAAAATATCAAGCGCTGGGGCTCTTTTCTGAATAAATTGTCTGAGGTGATAGAAGTGACATAGACGGAGCATGCAACTGTCTGGGTCGAAGAAAAAGCAATGAGTGCAACCATGATGTCTGGAAGAGGTAATAGCAAGCTCTGTCTGGTAGATATTTGTCGCAGACCAACTGATACTTAGTATTTGAATATTATGACTGCTGGATTTTTTTTTTTTATTCGCCGCTCTGCGATTTTTTCTTCATTTTTTATTAATCGTATAACGACGGTGTTAGCTCAATGGGTGATAAATATGGGAAAGAGTTTAAAAAAAAGTATTTATATGTTTTTTAGTTGCGGAAGGACATTAAAGGGTTGATAAACATGTGATTTTTTTTATGAGTCACTTTTTTATGAGTTTCTTTTTTTGTTTTGCTTAATACGTTTTGGATTTCGGTTATTTTTTTATTTGAATGAATTGAATCTTAAATTATTGTAGGAATTAAAATTTATTCGAGGTATTTGGTTATTTCTTAGCAAATGATAAATTTTATGACTTGAATGATAGAAGTTGTTTTGATATTATATTTTAATGACTGATACTTAGAATAAAAATTTCTTTCTTTTTTTTTTATATATATTTTTCTTGTTTAATACATTTTGGGTTTTCGGTTTATTCTTTAATTTGAATATCATCGAATCTTAAAATATTGTATTAAATTCATTTACCATTTAAGTCAGTTGAATAATTTTGATTAGTTAAATTAAAAATTTTATGATTTGAATGATGAAAGTTTGCGCCGCGTTTTAATGATCATATCAAGAATAGCATTTTCTTTCCTTTTTTATAATTTTTTTTCTTGTTTTATACGCTGTGAATTTCACTTTTTTAAAAAAAAATTGAATTTTTGAATTATGTTGGAATTAAATTTAAGGCAATTGAATAATTTTGATTATTTCTTAATAAATGATTAATTTTATGCCTTGAATAATTATAAGTTGCTTGTTAATATATTTTAATGATTATATCAAAAAAAAATTCTGTTAAATTTAAATATTATGAGATTAATTACTATATTAAAATCTATTACTATGAAATTTTTTATAAAATATGTACTATTTTTGAGTAACAATTATTAACTTATAAGATTTTTATACTTTTATTTGTTTAATACGCTTCGGAATTTCGGTTTTATATCTTATAATTTAAATGTCATTGAATCTTAAAATATTGTAGAATTAAAAATTTATTTGAGACATTTGGATAATTTTGATTGCTTTTGGGCGAAAAATAATTTCATGACTTGGCTGGTAACAGTTGTTTCGATTTTGAGATTAATTTTTTATTAAGATATCAAGAATAATGTTACTAGGAGCTTAATAAAATAAACTATTTAAAAAATGACACATTTTATATATGATGATTTCACGTTATTTATATACTATTTTTGAGAACAAATCTATTAAAGATTTGTATTTTTTGCAATTATGCAATAATGTATTTTAAATATGCATTTACAGTTGCTTATTTATATTTATACGTATAATAATTTATTATAGAACTAATAACTCAGATTTATTTTTTATTAAGTATCAACACTATACGGAAAATTTAAAATTAAAAGTTTCAAATGAAGTTGATTGGTAAAAGGAATACATTTAGATCTATGTAGATATTTTATTATTTTTTTTTGCAAAATTTTTCTGAAGAATTTTGAAGGTCATATTTAGAGTTCAAAATTGACTTAGCCTTCATTTATTGTATGTTCTTTAATTCAAATTTTCTTTACATTTTTTAATGTACTCATTTAAGTTTTATACAAGAATCTATATTGCTTTTGCATTACCCACAATGTCATCTCTTTTATATATTGTAATACATATTTTTACCATTTTAATATATACAAATTTTTTTTTTTTTTTCTCCCTACTTTTTAAGTTTTGTCACTTTAAAGTTTTGTGGCACTTGTGAAAGTTTGATATGACTTATAATATTTTCTAGTAGCCTTTTTAATTTTATTAAATTTATAATTTTTGTATTTATTCAGACTTAAAATTTTTCTATGAATGTATAACTATTTTTTACTTATCTTAAGAAACAAAGCACTATTTTTCTTATCCCCCTAATTTTAGATCAATTGCCTAATTAAGTAATCAACATTGTATTGTAATTCACATAAATTTAAGATTTAATTATTTTTGAAATCTGTGTTTTTTTAAACTTTTCTTCTGGTTTAAAAATTTTTAGGCAATTAATTGTCATTTATTTTTTTACATTGTCTATTTTTCCTTTACTGTTGGAAAAAATGAAGTTAGTAGTTTTTATTTCTATTTTTTACTTTATTTTGCTATTTGAATAGGGTTTTTTTTTACACTATTTTACCATTTAAGTACTATTTCAAACCATTTGCTGTGACTGTCCCCATTGGTTTTGTCTTTTGATAAATTATGACCTTATTCATTTCCTTAAAAAATGACAAAATGAAGCAAAAAAATAATGTATTAAAATTGGTTTATGTGAGGGAAAAAAACAAAATGTGAAACTTTGAAATCTATTTTTATGTTTAGCTGTGAAAATATTTTTTTGGTTTTCTAATGTTAGATAAAAAAAATTTGTATTTAATATGTATGAATAATATCCTTTAAACCATAATTCTTATTTTTGTTTAGCTATTTATATATTCACTGCTTAATAAGATAAGATATATTAATCATTAATTTATATTTTTGCTATTAAAAATACTATTTCATGTATGTTTATTGTATTTTCCTTGCAATTGTAAACTAAATTGAAATTTAGAAAAAGTTATGGCTATAGTTAATTTGAAATTATGCAAAGAGTTGTAATAAATAAAATAAAAATGAAATAAAAGCAAAAAATTTATCATTTATCTAAGTAACTTCAGAGATATAAATTTGAAGTTATTAAATTTAGCTAAGTTAATAATCAGGTAGGCAATTTTTTTTTTTATGAATAAAGCTTTATATACCTTATGTTTAGGTTGAGATTTAGTTTTATTAAATTTGTACAAAAATACAAATTATTATTTTATTAAAACATGTAAAATCTATGAAATTTAAATTAAACAAAATCAACAGAATAAAATCTTTTATCAAATGTTTCTGTTGCAATTTATATTTATTACAATTGTATGAATTACTCCTATAAATAATGTGAATTAATTATTCTTGTAAATAAAGAAATTCAAATAAAGTTTAAAATAAATTAAGAAGAGTAAATTGTTTATCAAAATGCACTTAAAAGAAAACTTGTTTGTTATTCAGTATCAGTAAGAAAAAAATGTCTTTAATCAGTAGGACTGTTTAGTTATTTAACACTAAATTCAATAAAGTATTTTGTTTAATAGATAATGTATTTAAATTCCTTTCTTTAAAAAAAAAATGGGAATATTCTTTTTTAAAATACAGCTGATAGTTTCTTCTAAGCTATTAAATTTAATGCTTAAACTTTGATAGCTTTAAAATTGTGATTTTTATGTTGAAAAATTAAAGCATAATTACCTTAGTGATCTTAAACTAACATATTCAGTGTTTATTTATGTATATCAGAGGTTCCAATTTTTTTTCTTTCGATCTATGGAATCCTTAATAAATAAATTTTTTTTTCGCAAAGCTTTAATAAATAAAGTTATTTGAACACCTAGGAATATACTAACAAAAAAAGGACTATGAACTCGATTAACTCCGCCCCCACAAACTAATTGTTTTAAAAATATTTAATTAGAAGAATTCATAGAGCAAAAAAAAGAGATGACATTCTTCTTGTGAGCCATTTCGTAACCTTGTTCGCCCCTTGACTCACCAATTTAGGGAATTTCCCGAAACCTGACACAGTAGCATTCTAACAATGGTAAACAAGTCTTCATATTTTGACTTTGAATAGCATTTAAAATTTTGCAGTCTTTCTAATTTTCCCCACCTTGACAGAAAAACAGACAGAGTCTAAATAATAACTGTATAGAAGGGCTCAAAGATTGGAAATATTAAATAATTATGCATAAAAATGTGTAAAATTACAATTTATTCAATCTGTTACTTTTTTAAATATTAAAAATAAAAATACAAAAATTTTCACTCTCCCATTTCTCAGAGCCTAATATTTCCTCAGAAAAAAGTTTTCTTAGATCAAAATTTTCCCCAAACTGTAGAGTTTATATTTTAGTACAATAACTCTGTATTAAAATATTTCTAGAAAGTTATGTTTATATGAGGAGAAAATTCATTTAATTTTAAGCAATTCTAAAATAAACAATCATGTGTGTTAAATAACAGAAATCAAAATATATTGAACTAATAATAATTTATTAAATTAAGTTTCAGGCTACTCTCATAAATTTAAGGAATTCAAACAGCTAAATACATAAATTGACGTGTAATGTTTTCTTGACAAGAAAAAATTTTGCACAGCGATACATTTTTTGCAATTTTTTTAGAGTTAAGGTTAAAATTTCCCCAGGGCTGCCTGAATTTCTCCCAAAATCTTGTTCTAATCTGATCTAACATATTCTGCTCCCCTGCATGTATGTATGAACTATAAAAATTGAGAATGAAAAATAATTTTTAGAAGTTGACATCAGATAGTTGTTGGAGACTAGTTAATTTCACTGTTTCTAAAAATCTGCTTTAATTTTGGCGTAAAGGAATTCAAAACAATGTTTAGACAGATAATAATTAACTCATAATTATTAACTGTAAAATAAACTCAATAGAGCAACTAATATTAATCTTTAATTATTATGAATGCCATGTTATTAGAAAAACCCAATTAATAGTTTCAATAATTTTGACTATATTTTTTCTAAATAGTATATATATTATCTATCATAATTATAGTAGTATATAATAAAAGTATTGTACATGATTTGATGTCTAATTAAAGGTCATCAATGACGAAAAAGAAACTTGTCCTAGGTTTTTGACAGGTTTTTTGGCGTGTCTTGTATAAAATCCATATCTGATTACCTTGAAATAATAGCAAGGCATTTATCAATTGTCAGCTTATATATATGTGTGTGTCTACTTCATATAAAATTAAATATTAAGCTGTTTTTATCTCTTTAAGTCAAACATATAACGATAAATCAAATGCTATATGATGCATTACTAAGAGTTAAATATAATTTTTATGCCAAAATCTAAAACTTACAATTCAAAGAAATATCAAGAAAACCAAAGAAAAACAATGGAGACAAATAATGAATTGCTAAGTAAACCTGACTGATGGAAAATAAGAACGACTGTTACCTTAGTTTTGTTTGCTTGTGATTCTCAAGGTTTTTGATTTTTTATGCTAACCGAATATTTTAATGTAATACTACAGAAAAGCAATAACTTGAAACATACAAAAATTGACTTGAATTGAATCTATTTCTGTGGGGAGAATCTGCCATTTTGGATACAGGAGATATTTGGTGAAAAAAAATTTTAAGAAATAGTGATCGCCTAGTCACTTCTTCCCTTTTCTTTGCTCTATGGAAGAATCATCAGAAATAGTTTTTAAAATTAGGTTTTATATCAGACAGTTACATTTACAGGTCTAGAGTAACATCTGAATTTCTTAGTGATTAATAAAGCCAAATTATAGTTCTCGAAAGCAAAAAGAAACGAACAAAAAAAAAACAGCTGAAATTGTTGAGAATAGTCATCAGATAAATGATATTTGGTATTATTCCAATATGGGATCGATATACCTGAGTAATAGACATTAATTTTTTTAATAGTTGAGATTTTTAGTATTGTGTCGTTGTCCTAAATACTCTATGCATACACTGTTTTTTTTTTTTTTAAGGATAATTGCCATTGTTCATTATATTTTGCCAGAGTTTAGCTAGTTTAAACCAATCTGGTTTAAATTACGATTTGAATAAAAAAATTTTAAAGCCAAATTTGGTATTTTTATCAGAAAAAAGTTTCTTTTAAATAATTTAATTTGTTATTATTTATATAAATTAGTTTAGTTTAAATATACCCAAATGAAAAACAGTATATTTTCTCAAATAATCTTTTTAATCTTAAGTTAAATTGCTAATGTGAGTCTGTTATCACGTATGTTTAAATAAACCTATGTGATATTTGTAATTTTTAAATGTTTATTTATTATTGCTCTGTTGCTAAAATATATTCATAAAATACAATAATGAAAATAAATTTAAAGTTACGTCCAAGATGTCTCTGGAAATTCTTAAAATAATGTATACCAGCACCAATTTCATGTTCTGATAGTTTTTAAAATTATCTAAACAAAACAAAAAAATGCAATTATAGAACTCATTAAGACTAAAAATTCTCTTTTTCATAATATTATATTAGTACATTATGCTAAAATGTAAATGGAAATAAGGTACTTTTCTAAATTTTATTTTTCAGTTTATTTTTTAAACAAAATTTCTGTTATCAGTGTAAATTAATTTTTATTATATGTATGTAGTATGTATTTATAAATGATTCAATAATATTTTCAAAATATCATTCTTCTAAAAAGGGGCATTATTCAAAAATGTTAAAAAAAATATTTAAAATTCATATGAAATCTTATCAATGTATGTATATTATTTTATTTAATGCTGCCTTATTTACCCTGTTGCAAAATTTTTTCGAGCTATCTGCAACAAAACTCTCTAGCACTAATATTTTTCTGCAAGATATTTTAATAATAACAAGCATATATGTTACTGATTTAAAATTACGAAAGCGCTGTGTTTACAAAAGAAAAAGCTATATAATTTTTTTTTAATTGAACATGTAATAATTTTTTATTCTAATATTATGGGTGATATTCTCGCATTTTGTTGGGGGGGGGGGAAAAANCTCAAATTATTTCCTTCTTCGCCTCTTGTAAATAATCATCACAATAAGCATTACTATACTTACATTTTTATTCTATTAAAATAAATCTCACGAAAAGTAGTTTATTCTTTATTTATTAAATTATTAGTATTAAGACATACCTTCACTTAGTTTATTTTATTGTACAGATGTATGCAGCCCAGTTGACATTTTTAGTCTCATTTTCAGTTCAATTGTCATTTTATTTATTTCAATATACTCTTAACGATTTTTTTTTAAATTTACAATTTCTTTTTCATTTGCATTTTACTTAAATAATTTTCCTAAAAATTACTGAAATTTTTAGTAAATTTTGGATTATTGATTGGGTATAAATGTAATAAATGATTTCGAAAATCATTCTGGTTTAAAGAAATCCTAAATCCCGGAACCTCAGTAGTCCATCCACAGAGGCCCTGGTTTCCACGGAATATCTTTTGGGAAACGCTGATATAGATTGTTTTAAAAGTTAAACATTTGTAAAGTTCGATGCTTTAAACAGAGATCATTTTATGAGAAATTAATTGCCATTACCGATCCTTCAAAAAAAAATTTTTGTGTAGAAACAGAACTTAACAATGCTTGAACCCTTCAAAACATTTTTAATTTTTGAAATAGATTCTTTACAATCATTCAGATGAAATTTTCAGAATTTCACAAAAATTCTTAAATATTTTAATTTCAAATTCATTCTGTTTAATTTCAAAGTAATAAAAAAACCAAAATATTTATTTTAATTATACAAAGATTTGTATTTGATTCTGTCCTGTGCAGTATATATGTATTATCCCTCTGCATTTTGTCCTAAAAAGATACTTGTATTTTTAAATTCAAATTTTTTTATTATTATTAATATTTCTTAAAAAGACCCTTTTTTTTCTCCATCATTTGAAATTTTTGAACCTTTAAAATAATCAAATTTCACATAGATTATTTTTAGAAACATGTGTAAATTATTAGATTAATAGATCAAAGCCTCCGTCATACTTAATCAGTTTTATCTTATTTTTTAAAACCAATTTCCTTTTTTTAAAATAATTCTTTTCTATTCAATATTAAAAAGAAGAAAAAATTGATTTAACTCTCTTCGAACAATTAAAAATTTGTACAAAAAATTACATTTATGTTAAATGTTTCTTAAATCTAAAATTTTTGAGAAAAAAATGGCATAATCATAAATACATTTATACCTGCTGAAAGAATTAAAAAAAAAAAAGAAATCTTCACCAGAAGACTACAGCATTTCGATTTTACACTGAATAATTAAACATTTCATATTTCAAACAAAGCATAAATAATTCAAACTAAAACTGTATATGTTGGACAAATTAGACTTTTTAGAGATTTTAAAATTTTGTTGAAGTTTAAGGTTTTTTTTTATAAAATAAATCCTAAGTGATTAAAAATGCTCAGGTAATTAAAAATTGAAGGTAAATCTAATAATTTTTTTTTTCATAAATTTATATTTTTTGTCTCATGCATTTATGATGAAAATATCTTATATTTGATTTAATTTTGAATTTTTTCCCCCTTTATTTAGATAATATTCACTTTGAAGAGAAATAAAAATGGATCGTACATTACTTGCTGATTTAGGAATGTTTTATTGGTATAATGTTGATCACTATATTCCACCAGATTTTTATGAGACAAAAATATGGTAAATATTCAATCTGTGACTTAAAATATTTTTTTCTTTTTTTTTTTAGTTTTTAAAGCTTACATTTGAGCTTTAATCATTACCTAAAGGGTCAGGTTTTCAACCTCAAAACTCTAAGATGATGGTCACCCCCAGGGCAGAATCGCCGTGACACGGTGACATTGTCACAGAGAGTTCATGCAGAAAGATTTTTCTTTTGATAAGTTTAAAAAAAAAATTATTTTTCTTTTCTACAGAAATTTATATTACTATGCATTTGCATAATAACTCTTTGATGCCCTCAATTTATGCCGATAGTATCGTAAATCGATGTAATGTTTGAATTGTATTTTCGATATTTATTGATATTGATTTTCACGTAGATTTTAAACATCCCGATATATTTCAAACAATATGGAAAATTCGAATCGTGCTTTTGCGTATTTACTTTTTAAGGCAATAATTCTATCGAATATTTGGCAGTTATTGCTATTCATTTCACCATAGTTTTTAAATACGATATTTTTATACATATTTATTACAAAAACCTAATCACGAAATGAACCACACACATGAGAAGTCTGATTCGCGTGATTTCGTCGCCGATCTTTTTTTTTTTTTCTCTTTTTTTCCGAAATAAATTCCATTATGCTTCAGTACTTAAATTTTTAGCAATAATTTTTCCACTTTTAAATATGTTAATTATTACCTGTTTTAAAATAAAATTTGTACAGTAAGGACCGCCTCTTAACAACGGCAACCTCCAAAGAGGGATTATAAGTTTATGGTACTGAAAGTCAGACCTGTATAATATATGTAAAAATTGTTTGTGGAATATTAGTCACCATTGTACAAATTATTTTGCTATTACTAAAAAGAAAAAATTCTCTTCAAAGAAAGTTTGTCTTTTTCAAATTCCCGAGAAAAATAACAGATTCATTTTTACGCTTTTTCCGACCATTGCTAGTGCAATTTAAAATGCCATTCACATGATTTAAAACAACCTATGGCTATTCCTATTCACACGATTTAAGATAGTACATCTTGTTCTGTATTTTCACAATTTTATGTAAAATTTCGCATTTTGTATTCCTGTGATTTAAAAGCCCCTCTTATTATTCCTGTTCTTAGTGACTTAAGAATTCGGAATTCATATTCACGCACTTTTAAAGTGAAATATCGAAGTTCGTATTCGCGCAATTTTGAAATCTAATATCGATATGTTTATTAAGTGATTTTAAAACCAAACATCGAGATTTGTTTTCACCCGATTTTAAAATGAAATCACAATATTTATTTGTCGATAGTGGGCACCTTTCAACAGGGATCACATAGGCACAGTTAATCATAGAAGATACCTTTGTTTTGAGGTTTTACTACGTATAAAAAGTAGTAAAAAAATTCTGCTCCAATAGTTATGGTAACTCAGTCACTAGAGCATCAAACTTTTGTCCAAAGGGGCCGGTGTTCGATCTTTATAGCAGCTAAGGTCCACCGAGTACGTGTGACATATGTGTCCATAAAATATGGGGAATTTAAAATCTGTGGTGGGTTGCTGAGCAGTATTATGGGTACAGAGATCTGGAGAAAATTCAAATCTATTTTAAAATTGTGAATGTGACCTCACAAAGGAGGGGTGCTGCCATCTATCCAAGGGGTTCTGAGACAAGTCGCAATTTCATCCTTGAGGTTCTCTCTTGTCAAACGAAAGGCTCTAGTGTCAAAACAAAAACTTAGTTTGCAAACAAATGACTGGCGAGCTTGATTAGACTGGCGAGCGTCATTAGAAACAACATATATAATTTTAAAATGAGAGTCCAATCCAAGATTTCTCAATCCCAGTGCCTATTTTTGAGGGGAAAAATTTCTTAAGAATTATTTAATTTCATTGAAAAAATATGTTTATTGAAATTATAAGAGTGTTAATCAAAAAGTAATTTAGGTTAATCAATTTTGCAATATTTTCTAATTTATTGAAAACATAACAAAAATGTCAATGCAAATCTTATAGAGAATATTAAATCCAAAATTTTAAGGTTTTTTTTTTTTTGTGTGTTTCTGTTTAATATTATTATTGTAAATTTATCACTTTTGCCAACTTCTTTTAAAAGAAATTTTTTTTTTTAAATCTAAAATTTGTTCTAGCCATGTTCTATAACAGAAAGTAAAAATTTGGTTTAGTTTTTCTTCCAGTATTGGATTGGATTTTGTTTTGGATTCAGAGTTTTCACTGAAATGTCCCCCCCCCCTTCTTTTCTAACGATTATTACAAAAAAAGTTCAACTTGAAAAAAAAAAAAGCAAGAAAGTTTCCAACATTGAAAAGAGGAAAATAAGAAAGTAATGGTTTTGTATTTCTTTCTTTTTTTCTATGTTTAAGTCTTAAAATAAAATATCGTGAAATGTGTGAAATAAACACATGCAATTGCATATTTATGTTGTAACTGTTCTTCTATATCTTAATAGAGATTTCTTATAGAAAAAAAAAAATATTGACTTCTGTGTTTTTCTTTTTTTAGTGAATTTTAAAGAAAAGGAGTTTTCAGCATAATATTCAATTCTGAAAGATCTCATTTTGTGATACTACACACCAAATGTATGTGAATAATTTTATGCTTTGTATTACTAAATTAACATCTATAATTATTTTTCTTTAATGTTCTCTTTCTTAGTAAATATTATTAAATTATTACTTCATGTATTTTCAATTATTACGTGTAATGTTATTGCCATAAATTGTGTATGTTCTGCAAAGTTGTTGCATCATCCTTATTCAAATTTGATAATCTTGATCAATCTTTGCAATAACATTCCTAAATCGATGTTTAAGTGAGCCTCAATTACTTGAAAGTCTTTGATCTGAATACTTCAGTTAACTTAAGTCAGTTCTGAAATGTTTTTTTTTTTTTCCTCTCTGCCTTGCACATATTTTTTCTTTTATCAATTTTAATAATCTTTCATTACTCATCTATACGCATTATCTTTAAAATGAAAAACCCTCTTTGTACTGCATGACTGCATACCATAAATAATTTTCTACAAATAAATAAAAGTTTTTGTTTGTAGGTAAAGTTAGTTTTGATTAAACTATCTAAAGTTGTAATTTCTGTCATTTTTTTAGTCAGTGAGTCTGCTTGTATGCTATAGAGCATCACATGCATTGAAAAACAGTGAGGGGTGCAAAAAGAAAATAAAGCTATGATGTGTCCTCTGGGACATACAATACTCCATTGCAAAAAAATGAAATAGGGTGCTAGTAGATTTTTGTATGCAAAATTAAACTAAAAAATACGGGAAAAAATGTGTCAATAAAAAATAAAAAAAAGAAAGAAAGAAACAACTTTTGCTACTAGAAAGAATTTTTGCCTTAAAAAGTAAACTCAAATACAATATTTGGATTTTCCATATTGTTTGAAATATATTGGGATATTTAAAACGTGTGAAAATCAATATCAATAACTGCACAAATACAGTTGAAACATCACATCAATTTACGATACCGGCGTAAATTGTGCTCTTCAAGAAGTGATTATCTAAATGCATGATACAAATATTGCGTGTAAATTTCTGTTGAAAAGAAAATGAAATTTTTTACTTTTCAAAAGAAACGTATTTCTGCAAGAACTCTCTAACATTCTGCAACAATGTTGCAGCGTTTCTGCCTTGGGGCAGCTAATATGTGTATTACATTAACTGTCCAAAAAAAAAATATGTCTTTCGATAAATGAATTAAGGAGAAAGCATTGAAAAGCTTAAAATAATAAAGTAATATAAATCAATAAAGTAAAGTATAAATCAGTAAAAAAAAAAAAGTACAATATAAATCAATCAATAAATTAACGAAATCAACTTAAAAAATCAATGAAATCAGCTAAGGATTCAGAATGAGATGCTGCTTTGTAGAAATGATTTATTTAAAAAAAAAAAGAGAGAGAGAGGACTTGATATCTTTGACAATAGTGCAAATGAATTTTAAAACAAAATATCTTCAGACCTATTTGATAAAAAGACATTTACTAAATGGTCATGTTGAAGTTAACATTAAATTCTGTACCCCATTCTTAATATACTATGTTTCTTCTGTAGTCTGAGTGTTTAAATTTCCTGTCCCTGTATAATTATTGAGGTCTCAGTAAAGTAAAACAATCCTTGGAGGTTAAGGCTTCACAATTTGGTGACCAATGGCAGATTTTGGTTATGTTTGAGCATAGACAGGATTTAAAAAAATAAAGAATTTTTTTTATTTTTAATAAAACCCAACCAAGGTTGGTTTTTTTAGTTTTACTGGACTTTTTTGGTTTTGTTTAAGATACTACTTTGTTTAACACTTTTTATAATGGATTTAAACTTTAATTTAAAAAAAAAAAAAACCTGAATTTTAATATAGTACCCATCTTTTTATGCTGGTATATTAAAGGCTTTTAAATTAATTCCTTCTTTGACTCGAAATAAAATCATAATAGTGGAGTCCTAGAAATATGCTGTTTTATTTATTTATTTTATTTTTTTTAAGTTATAGTTTTTTTTTAGTTAAAATAAAGTAAGCCTTTTGCATTCCATAACTACTGTTTATTTATCAATTTTCTTAATAATTTTTTGAATTACTCTTTAAACTATGTATATAGATTTAGTTTTAATTAATCAATTATGCAATAAAATAATTAATCAATTATACTAAGTTTTATTAAATATAATATGAAAGTAAAAATTTTAAATTTGTATGGGGCCGTTCAAAAAGTACGTACATCCCGAAGGGGGGGGAGGGGATTTGCTATTATGTACGGTTTTGTNTTTTTTTTTTTGATAATTTAACAAATTGTTCTCATATAAATTGTTTTGTCCAATTTCCTTAACCTATTACTGCTTCATCTGTATCTGTACTTGTCTTTTCTATATCAAAAAATCGTAAGACTTCGCTGCAATTTTGGATATTAAACTTAACATTACATTTTGTTTTGCTGCTTAAAAACTATAAGGCATAGAAGCTTGAAGTTACGAAGGTATGAAGAATAATGCACAGGGAGTACAATGAAATAAAAAAATTTAACATTCGATAATTAGTTAAGAATTGTTACATGTTAAACTCATATGGAAAATATCATAAGAGCCACTCTACAGGCTGCAGGTATGCAAAAGGGACCATTCCTGTTTATGAACTTAACAACAATTTCAAATTCATTTGAAATCATGTTTGTTCATATTTGTTTAAAAGTTATTGCTATATTTTCTAACTGTTTTTGCTTTACAATATAATTTGCTTTGCTATACAAAATTTATAAGGCTTAGAAACTTGAAATTACGAAAGTATATAGAAAGAAGTACAAGGAGTGTAACAATAAAAAAATGAAGTTTTTGATTATTAGTTCAAAACTTATTAACAGTTAAATTTGGAAAGCAAAAATACCGTGTTTAGTCAATCTTTGGCCTGTTCAAATGAAGGTAAAATTTAATGTGCTGAAAAAGCGATTTTTATTTGTGAACGTAGCATGAATTTTGTATAGAAACTCCAGTTTGTTCGAAAGTTAAAGAAAATTTTAATGCTTTTTCGTGATATTTTTCAGCATTTTTGCTCTAAATATTATCAATTTATCCACTGTTGCAGAAAATGTATTTTTCCCACACAAAATCTTAAGCTTGCGCCTGATTATATATCAATTAAAAGAAGCAACAACAAAAAATTGAAATCGACTGCATATTGCCGGATATAAATCTTAACATTTATAGTGAAGCTTTGAAATATTAAATAACTTGAGGGATAAATATTATTCAATATTTAAAGTGTTATAAGTCTCATCAACGAGTAAAACTGCTTCTCATTTATTTCTTCTTATTCAGTGTCATAATTAGGTACAACTGATTATTTTTCAAATTTAGGTAGTCGTCTATTTCGTTACGATTAACAAAATATTCTGTGTTTTTGTGGAAAATATTGATGTTTATGTAAAACAAAAACAATGATGAATGAAAAGCAATTATAGGGATTGCCGAGCAGTGTGGAGCAGGGGATAGAGCCTCCTAGTGTAATAAACTATGTTGAAGGTTTTTATTTCACCTCTTTAACTTTTCTTATTAATTGATTTTCATATTCATGATTTATCATTTTCATGTTACCGAAAAAAGTTTTATACTTTTAATCAATTAAGTGTTTCTATAAATTTTACTTTTATTTTTTTATTGCAGTTACAATGTTCGAGCTTACTGGTGACAGCGATCTATATTTATCATTTATAAAACAGCACTTGCATTATGTACTGAAATTAAGAATTATTTGACTGTGCTCTTCTCTGCAGATTCAGCTTAATTAAACCATGCAGAACGGTACTTACCCGTGGATGACTTCGTCCTCCCTTGGGCAGAAAAGCTGGCATCCAGGATATCAAGCCAGCTTAACAGATCTGTTTCTTAAAAAGAATCCTCTGCACTTTGGAACTGGCATCTCTCAGCTTGCAGCAGCTTCAAGCTACATAGAAAAGATGTCCCCTTCTGCTGATCATATGCCCAAGTGTCCCCACCCGGAAGCCAAGGATAAACCATACCCTTGTGACACTTGTCAACAGTATTTGAATATTTTGAGAACAGATGGTGCTTCAAGCAATTCCAGCAGACCATCAATCAGCACGCCTGTCAGCATCGGTTCCCCATCTGAACGAAAAGTAATGGGTCTCTCTGCATTGCCCCCTCCTGTAAATCATGCCGATAGACCTAATGGTTGTCCACCAACCATGATGCCAGGACAACAAAGGCCCAGGCCACCTCCAAACAAGCAGTTCCTCTGCCCTGTTTGTCACAAGCTGTTTACACAAAAGGGCAATCTGAAGACTCACATGATGATACACACAGGAGAGAAACCCTACGCTTGTCAAGTTTGCGGTAAGAGCTTCACTCAGAAAGGTAACGTCGATACCCACATGAAGATACATACTGGAGAAAAAGACTTCGCTTGTGAAAGCTGCGGAAAGCGTTTTACACAAAAAGGTAATTTGAAAACTCATATTCGCAGCGTTCATACCAAAGAGAAGCCTTTTGCATGTAGTGTGTGTGGTAAAAGCTTTTCTCAGAGGGGGAACATGCAGACTCACATGAGAACACATAATAAAGATGACAGATTCCCATGCACCATGTGTGGGAAAACTTTTTCACAGAAGGGCAATCTCAAAACTCACATGCAGCGTCACACTGGGCAGCTGCCGTCTAAACGAAACTACAATCGAGGAATAAACAATCCAAATAATATGAGGCGAATGCCCCAAGCTGGTGCTCATTTACCACCATTCAGTTTTCATTCATCATCTGTTCTTTCCCAAGGTACTATTCCATCCCCAATCAATTCTCCTCTCTCTTCTAAAGCTCTGTTTTCAAAGATTGGCCCTCATAATCAACATTTGGACATGTCAAGGACTGGCATCAATCTGTCTTATCCCGAAGATACTCACAATGACTGTAGATCCCCCATGACATCACCGATGCCCCTTGTCACTTCATCTGCTGGTTTAAATAATAGCCAGTCACAGTCTTACCACAACACCTCTTCAAGTCCTAATCCTTCCCAGTTGTCAAGTCCATCTCCTGATGATGAAATGGGGGGGATGACACAAATGCTCCAGAACAAACCTTCCCAGCACAATTCTCACCCACCTACTCCAAATCATCAAAACGAAACTCTTTCCCGCTCACAGTTGAACTCTCCACCTAATACTGCTAGTGATCTTCGAATGGCTACTCCACCCCCGACATCTACGAGCACTTCTCAAGCTTCAGAGTCTGAAAGTAGGCCATTCTACTCGGCACCACCCACTCCCGTTCCGGGCCCTTTTGCCACTGCTTCTCGATGGCTGTCGCACGAGCGTTCTCGTTACTATGACAGCTTCCAGCACCATTCGGGATTGAGTTCTTACAATGCTATTTCTCAACATACCACTCCCTTATCACGATTGTCTCTTTTAGCTTCTGGCTCTATGGCTCACCATCTTAGTCAACAACAGCAGCAGCAGCAGCAACAACAAACTTCATCGCAACAAGCAGCAGATGATGAGAAATCGAGTCATGTTCAAGACTCACAATTTCATTCCATAGGTAACCCTGATTTTTCTCAATTACTCGATTAATAATGGGAATATAGAAGAGCTGAATATTTGCAAAGGATACAGAAGTGTGATAAGATATCTTAGCATCCCCATCCATGTTGTTAAAACTCTAAAGGCATAATTTCTTTAATTTTTTTAAACTTCATAAAAAAAAATAGTGTATGTTTTTTAAGAGCTTGTTTTATTTTCATCTGTACATTTATTCATGGAAACTTTATGTTGCTCTTTTATTTTAAGAAAATGTTTTTATGTATATATTTGATATTTTAATGAAAAAAGAAATATCATTCATATATGTGTGAGAAGAGTGATAACGTTGGTAATGAAGTTTTAGATTCGCATTCAGCGCCCGACAGCTTTTAATTTACAAGTAAGAAAAAAAATATACCTTCTTACTTCTATTTATAGAAGTACAAGCTCAATTCAAAAGCCCTATTCGTTTGTACTCTACCTGCAAAACATGCTAATGACCAAAATACTTGTTATTATCTTTCCTCTGAATGTTTCATTATTCAGTGTTGCTGCTGTTTATTTTAGGTGCTTTCTTGGAAAAATGGACACACAATACTGCCAGATTTACATGAAATATTTTAACTTTTGAGTACAGTATATATTTACTGTTAAGTTTTACCAATGCAGTTCCATAGATAGGAAACATTTCTGGATAAACTACAAGGTGCTCTCTGAAATAATTATGGCCTATAACTTTTCTCGATGTAGTATTTTTTAATTAGTAAACATTTTCCTGCCTGGCACATTGTATAAACATGAAGTTATGCTCAAACTAGTGTAATGTTAATACATTTGTGACTTGTTAAACAGTCATGGAGACATGCATAATCATTAATTGTTGTCTTTGTAATCTTATAAATATCAATAACCCTGTTTTACGACCAGACAAGCAAATACAGCATGATTCTATTAAATGTATAATTAAATTGTATGTGCATTTGAATATTGTATTAACACATAGCGTTTGGTGGAGCTGCGTACCTTCGTATGAAGGATGTCTCAGGTCTCTGAAGTTGCCTTTGATGTGAACAAAAAGTGATTTTATCTTGTTGCAAAAATGTAGAATGCTCCTGCCTGTTATAGATCTACTTATACTCACTGATATAAGCGCTAAATTTATTTTTTGAACTAAGGGAAAACTATATGAGGCATTTTAAAAAAAGAACTTGAGTGATTTATTATTTTTAAGATGTTTTTCATAAATTGTTGCATTTTATGCAAATTCAGAAAATAATTAACAACTAAAATGTCCAAATAAAGCAGGCTTAACTTAGTACTAAATCTGAATTTAGTAACTAACTGATTTTAACAAATAAGTGTGTTTATATGATGTAAAATAAATAAAGTGGAAAAATCTCATCTTTTTTTGTGATGGGCTGCTTTTTTCCTGATTTTTCTTCTTTTTTTTAAGAAAATGCTTTAAACAGTGCGCTTTTAAAATAGAATATAAAATGGACTATATTAGCTTTGTTAAAAGAAAAAAAAGGAAACTTTTTTTTTTCTTCTTGAAATTGTCTGATTGAATTCTATGCCTCATATAGTATTGTGTGTATGGATAAGAAATTTTTTGCTTTTTAAAAAAGTGAAAAAATATGCTGCTGGTTTCAGTTCCTGACACATAATTTTGTTTTGCCCTCTTCAAGAGAGGAATGAAATTGTTTTTCATTCAGCATTAACTGAAACTGTGAAGTCAATTTGGAGGTTCCTTTTTTCTAGTGAAGGCATTGCTATGTCTTAAATCTAAGTATTTTTCAGTCATTGTACTTTGACTTTCGACTGAAATTCAATGTTATTGTTAGTAGTTGCCATACAAAAAAAAAATCTATTGGTGTTGTGTTTATTCGGTGAATTGTGATTTTTGTACCTCTGAGAGGTATGCATTTTGTAAGATTATAAACATAAGTGATTGCTGATATTTGTGATAAAAAGTTTTTTTTTTATTAATAGTTCAACATTAAAATTTTACATAGTTAATATTTAACATAAGTTATAGACATTCCATATAAGAACATTTGTGTCTTATTCTTCCCTTTAATCTTTTAAAAACAATCACATATTTTCAAATTGCAAATTTTAGCTAGTTATGAATCTTTATATTGTTATTTCTGTGGAAATATTGCACAAAACTTTTTGTTATGTGATATTTACCCTTCCAGCGTTGAGCACCTGGAGAGAATTGTAATCAGATTGCCTTGCTTTGATTAATATGGGGAAAACTGGTTTTTCATGCAGGAAAACCTACAGTTGAAAGTTCCGAAAAAGCCAGCACCAGCGCTCATGGGGTTTAAAAAAACGTAATTATGTAGGTGTTTGTTTATTGTTAAGTTTTAAAATTGAATAGAATTTTTTTATCTGATCAGATTTATTTTGTTAATTGCAAGGCACTGAAATGATTTACTGTGAACTTTATTTCTTAGAATCATAAAGATATTTCAAATAAATATTTTCTGGTAAAAACATAAACTTAAATCATGCTTACAATTGAATAAGGTTAAAACCCTATTTCTGTTTTTTAATTTAGCTGGATTTTTAATTTCAGCTTCCAGTCATATCAATTTATTTTCTAGCTGAGGCAAAACTTATAGTTTAAATGGAACAATATGAATAAATTTGCATGTGTTGTCTTACTCTTTATGCAGTCTTTTTCCACATTTAAGTTTGAGTATTAAAAAGAATGTCAAGACTTTATTTCTTAAAATCAGTGCATGTTTGATTAAATAGTGAGGTTCATTTATTAAATGTGCATCATTAATCTCACCCAATCTAAAGCATTGCCTCGAATAGTTAGATGGAAAAGTTTATTTAATTTTTTTATGGTAGAACTATATTTTAAATAAAATTTGATTTGATCTTTCCTTTTATATTCTAAGGCTCAGTAAAAAACAAAGGAAAATCTTGTCTGCAGGAGTTAAAAAGTAGCATTATTAATAGCAGTAAACATTCTACTAAAACATATTTTTAAATATATAATTTAAAGGTTTCAAAAAAAATTTTAACATGATTTTTTGTTCTAATTGTCTTCATGAACGTTGTAGTATTAAAAAAAAGAAGGCATTTAAATAAAAACAATAGCATTAAAAACTACATCAGAAATTAGCAATATTGTAAGTCAACTTTTCTGAAAATCTTGTCATATGTGTTTGACTTAGATCTTTTTCATGTGTTTAAGATGACTCAAGAAAATAATAATAAACCATGTTGTCAAAAATTGCTCAGTTATCTGAATATTATTCTGTAAGAATCCTTCAGTTTCTCATTGTTACTTGTTATTTCTAAATGTCTGCTTATAATCTATCTGAGAACATTGCTGAATACCAAAGTGTCAACAATTTAAATCAAAGGACTAAATTCAGAAATTTGAATAATTTGCACTTTTTAAAAAAATCTTAATCATTATAATAAACAAAACAATGATTAAGATAGTTTGAGGTTTTGAAAAAGATTTTATCTAATGAAAGAAAAATTAATTAAATCTTCTTTTTTTTTTATGTGTTATCACATATAGAGATAACAAAAAATGCTAAGATGAGTGATAAAATGATGCAGGTGACAGATTTTATGTGAACTTTAATTGCTGAAGAGAAAGACAAAATTAATTTATAATTAAAAAAAATTATTTTTTGCAAATGAGGGATATAACTAATTTCTTTGGGATAAAATTAATTTAAAGATTAAAAATGATAGGCATAAATCAATTAATTCATTTTGCCCTTTTCTGCTACCAGTAAGGCAATTGTAAATGTAAACTTAACTATGTATTAATTATGCTTTCTAAAATAGTTTTATAAAGATTTATTAAAATATTCAATGTTTAGTATTCATTAAATAATTCAACTTGGATAAAAAAAATCTGACTTCGGGAAAATTTATTTGTGCAAAATTGTTGTCTTTTAATGCTAAATGTGCTTCCCTTACCTTTCAGAGCTTTATTTAAATTAGTTTCTTATGTCAAGAATCTGCTGTTGAAGATATACTTTTATATTTTTTTGTGATTGATCCATGTGCTGACAGTTGTAGATACATAAGAGTCTATATAGCTCGTTAAAGGGAAAATGTCTGCTCTGAGAGTATTTGTGTAATGTGAAATGATGTATTATACATTTTAAAATAACACACATTGATGATAGAGTACATATTGCAGTGATATTGTGATGTTCTTCATGTATTTCATGCTGTGATACTAGTTATGCAATAATGTAGAAAAGAATATAGTTTAGTGTAGATAGTGAAGAACCGGTTGTTTTTCCAAGGGAAGTATCTTTTTCTGTAGCTTTGGATTATGCAATGCTTTATCATCAATTGTGTGTTTTTTTGCAGTGTAAATAGATGATCAAAATTATTTTTCCATTTATAGTTTTATTAATTATCCATTTGAGTTTTTTGAGGGATATATGTTTCAGCAGATTTAGAGCATTTTTATTGTTGTTTGAAGAAAAAATATGTTCATTTAAAATCAAAATAGTTTAGTGACATTCTGTTTTAAATAGTTTTGAAAAATAAAATTTTTACACTATTATTTGCACTTTTTTTAAAAAAACAATCTGCACTTATATTGCAATTTTAAAGGCACTAAGTGTATTGTAAATTTATATGAAGTTGTTTAATAAATCTAGTTATTTTGTTTTTCATCAAAATAAGAGGAGTTACAAGTAATAATAAATAAAATGCTGCAATCTATCAAAGTTTGGGAAGTTTTCTAATAGATCATTTTTCATTTCACAATGATATGAAATACATATTATTTTCCATTTCAAAAATATTTTTTTATTAAAAGCTTAAATGTGAGAAAAAAATTGCATGGAAAGGCTTAAAATTCAAAAAAGGAAGAAAAAAATCTTGTGATTTATTAACTATTTGATTTTCAATATTGTTAGTTTTTTAATAGTTAATTTCCTAAACCAATCAAACTATACATTAATTTTATTGTTTTTTAAATTGTGATATTATTTCAATTTCTAAAAAATGTTTTACAGTAATATGAATAGTAAAACTGCATATTATTATTTGTTTTATTATTTTATTTAAACTCTGTTTGGGGTTTCATTTTTAATTCCCCTAAAATAAGTTCGAAATCTTTAATACAGATTTTAGTGTTTAGTTAGTTTTTAATATTATTGAAAACCTATGTGCAAAAAATATGAGTTATTATGCTGACATAATGTTTTCTTTATAAGACATAGTTTTTAATTTACATCTCTTAATTGTATATAATACTAGATTATGTATGTTATTTGTAAAAAAATATTCAAGTTGCTTTCTCAATGGTTTATTTGCTGCTAAAATATACCTGCTCAAATTTTTTTTATCTGATTAACGAGTGCCTTTTAACTTAATTCTGCATCAATGTGTTAGTTTTGTATTTTATTTATTATACTTAAATTATTAGAAATAACTTGATTTTTAAAAAGTGACTTTGCAATAAAATTTATGCAGGCTCTCTTGTTTATATTTTGACAATAAGCTATTATGTTAATTTTGAAATTAAAATTTTTTACTTTTTTGCCACAATTTGAAATTTTTAATATTAACCTTTTGTTTTAAAGGTGTATTATGTTTTACAGAAAGAAAGAAAAATTTATTTTTTAAATTGCTAATAATTTTTCAAAGTTTAAATGTTTTTTTTTATTTGCTTTTATATTACATGTAATTGTTTTGGGGAAAATGTTTCATTGTTTAAGAAATAAAAATTTGAATACAATTTTGGTTGGGTACATTACGACCTTTGCATTAGTAATAGTTTGATAGTGATAGCGGAGGAAAGATTTTAATAATACAAATTCGCATCTACAATTACTTAATGTTTTTTAAGTCACTTTTCCATCTGTTAATATAATTTGAAAGTGCGATGACACATCCTTGCATACACCTTGGTATGTTTTATGCAGCTAAATAAGTTTATCTGCTGGCAGCAATTAAACAATTGTCCCATATATATCGTCATAATATAATTGGAACAAACACCTGCATTTTTTTTTTAATTGAAATAATTGAAAAAATATTTATTCAAATCTGTTTAAAGAGTATTATTTAATATTTTCTTATTGTATTGCTGTGACTTTTAAGGAAAAGTTGTGAAAAGAAACGTGCATGTTTTTCAAAAGTGATCATTATGATGAAAAATGTTTATGGTGTGAAAAATGATACTAGTGACATTTTCTACTAGTATCATGTTTATACTTGTATCATGATACTAGTAGCTTGTTATGAGACTTTGTAGCTAAAATTTGTATTTCCATGTGTAACATTGTTGTCCACAGTTGAACAAATGGTATTAAAATAGCTGCTGCATATTGTTTTAATAGATGTTATAATAAATGTAATGATGTTTTAATGTTTCTAAGCATGCATGACTTGTTTTGTAACTAGTATAAATCTGCAAGTTCGCATCAGATACCTGAAATTAGAATCTATAATTCAGCATGTTTTGCACAATCTCTGAAGTTGTAGATAATATGAGTAGCTTCACTTGAAATATGACATTGGTTATAATCATTTGATTTTTCTTTAATAGAATGTAGTAAGTGTTTTCCTCCTGAAAAAAATTGTGATATTATCTATCGCTCTTTTTTAGTTTCTTGTGTTATATATATTTGTGATATTTTTAATTTTTATTGCTTCGCTTTTTTTTCTTTCCCCGGTGATCTTTGTTTCTTTGCTGTTAGATTTATATAGCTTTGTTTTATTGTGCTATGTTTAGTTTTATTTGAAGCTTTTTTTTTTCATTCTTATGGTTATGTTTGTGTGAATTTTAATGCAACCAGACTGTATATAATAGAGCTGCAAGCTCTCTAATTTGTGTTGGAGTTGAGTAGTATGTTAATGTTTTTCTCTTCTTTATTCTAAAACAATCGTGATAATTGTATATTTAAAATATAATTTCATTTTAAAATAACGAATTTGTTTTTTAAAATGCATTCCATTAGATCATAATGAAAATAATGCTTTCAGTTAGTCATATTTTGCTTTTATTCTCCTAATAAACCACCCAAGAAAAGATTTTTCTCTCTTACTATTAACATTTTATGTTTTGTCTCTGAAAAATGGCATGGCTATCTTACTTTTGATTAAAAAACTGTTGTAGCAGTACTTTTGAAATCAGGGGTCTCTGCCACAGTTGTTAAATTGGTTAATATTGCTGTGCACTTGATTTTATTGTTATAAATATTATTACTTTTCCATTGAATTTTTTTCTTCTTCAATAAATGAACCCTTAATACGAATGCAGTGCAGTAACACCTCAAATAAGCAAAAAATCATTATTTGTATGCTAAAAAAGTTATTACTAATCTGGGATGTGTAATTCCCTACTTCAATAGAAAATGGTAGAGCATTAGTAGATTTAAATTAGCAAAATTAAACGTAACTTTAAAAAAGAAAAATAAATAAATAGATACTGATGCAAGAAACAGAATATGTTCAGACAAGTTTAAAACAGTTAGAGTGATTTTAGCTCAGAGTGCTATCACTGAAGAATATAGATGGAAGATTTATATTATTTTAAAATAAAGGCCTGTCTTTTTGTAAAAAAAGGACTTGGATGTCCTAAGGACCCATAGTGTCCAAAGTCTTGTGGAATCACTGTGTCTTATGTATATATAATCTATTTATTTAAATAGCACTTATTATTAATATGCACCTTGATCAATGGATCTTGTTTTGAAAATTTGATAGATTTATTGTATTGAAATTGTGCATTTATGCAGATATAATTTGAACATATAGGTTTTTTAATAGATCTGATAAAAGAAAAATTTTTGCTCTGCAGTTTTATAAAAAAAATATATTATTTAAGATGATTGCACTGGAAAAAGTTGAGCATGCTGATTTTTCTTTTGATCTCAACCAATCGCTAACTGTTCGCCATAAGTC